CCATGAGAGGGAAGAAGACGAAGTGAAGCGGATTTGAATTATTGGAAGCCATGGGAGGAAGGGGGATCATATGGATTGGTTGCGGGGGTTTACTGAATCGAGACTTTATATTATTATTTTTAATGTAAAGTTTATTGAATCGAGATTCGTAGGCATTAATCTTCCACGTGTCATATGGGTTGAGTTTGATACTTTATCGAATCAAATATTGGTTCCATCGACGGTCAAATCAATTTCACATGCAAGCCCTCCAGTCCACACTCCGAAACAAATGCCAACAGCTTATTAAAAAAAACAAAAAAAAAAGTCTAAAAAAAAATGAAGAATAATTATAAAAAAAGCAACTACTTAGATTTGCACATGACCTAAAATGTTTTGTAAAAATGACACTGCATGTTATTGATATATTTCACGGTAAAATACATTTTTAGGATTTGAATTCTGTGTTCATTTAGTTCACGAGGTATAACTTTCAAAAATAGTAAGTTACCGATATATATTATTTGTTGTCCACATTCAATTGGCATAGTTTCAAAGAAATTTATTTATTTATTGTCCCAACATTGGTGCTAAAGGTGGAGTACAATGTTGTGATATTTAACTACATATCATTTACATTTACGTGAATAACCTTTTCAAAAGGATATATATATATATATATATATATATATATATATATTTACGTGAATAATGTGACACTTTCAAACTAAACATAATAAGCAAAATTCATGCCAGCTTTGCACAATCCCAATCGTACTACCACAGAAATATTGAAACAAAAAGGTAATGGAAATGGTAAAATATTAGGGACCAAGCTTTAAGCAATTCCCGCACGCGAAACACGTGCAGGCATAACCTTCGACCTCCGTTGAAAAACGTGGGAAGAAGAATCTATGTAATTTGCAGTGCCAGTGGTGAGCACAAGAAAAATAAACATATATTTTTCCCTTTTACAGAATATGTACAAACAAAACAATACTATTCAAACTCAAAGCGACACATCTCCTGTACTTTCTATCCACCATATTCTCCAAAATGATCATATGAAAATTATTAAAGATTTAAATCCTTTTCAGCTACCACGTGGGTGTGTGTGTATATATATATATATATAGTTGATCTTCATCGACCTTATGATGTTGATATTCTTGAATTAAAGGAATTCTTTATCTAGAACTTAGAATTGTATTTATAAATTTTTTGTTTAAATTTTTGCTTTTTTGTCCATTAAATGATTCCAAACATTATCCGATTTATCCTAAGAAAGTTTTTCTCTAGTGAACAAAGATATCTTTTTCCTATCATTCAAAAAAGTTCACTAAAGGAGGTGTAAAAACTATCCTCTCTTTTTCAGTTCGTAACTGTGTGACATTTCATTTTTAACAGCATTTTTCAAATTTATCATTTTTAATATATCGAGATGGACGATTTCATCATTCATATTTGATCCTATGAGCATAGAGATTTTGATCCTATGGTTGACAAAAATTTTTGATCTGATGATGATTTAAATTGTGAATGACCACATCTATTTATACAGTCTGCTATGGACTCAGGTGGGTTTGGATCCAACCTATTTATTTTAGATCAAATACCACGATGGCGTACTCTAATTGAACCAACTTATGTCATACATAGCGTAATCTTAATGGACCAATTTATGCCATGCATGTGATGCAATTTGATTGGTCCAACTCAAATGACGAAAAGATAGACATATGACATTATTTAATTAGTCAATTTTTATTTGTATAACTTTTACTAGACACTAGCCAAATTCTAATTCGACCTCAATTGAATGACATATAATTTTATTTTGTGACAATTTGTGATTTATTGAAATTTATAACTTTAATATTAATTTGTTGTATTTTATTCCTGCACTTTTAAGAAACATATTGCAAAATTTTTTAGTTTGTTCTAATTTCCATTCTAAATTTTTATCCTTGTAAATTTTTTTATACTAAACACGGTGTAAAATGGACTTTTTCTTATTTTCTACCAATATGAGTTTATTTCACCGACCAAAAGTAAAGTAGACCCTAATCAAGATTTTGAAAAATAGAAACACCAGATAAAGATTTTGAAAAACAATACATTGATTTAAGGAAATTAGGATTTAAACAAAAATTAAATTAATTGGATTCACAGTTTCGAAACTCTTCGATGAGCAGCGAGAGGTTCCGATGAGAAGATCCACCCTCTCCCATGGCGTTCTCCGCCATCTCACTGAATTCTCTCACTCTCTTCCTCCTCTCCCCATTTTCCTCCATCACCTCTTTAATGGCTTCCGCGACCCTCTCTTTTCCGATATCCTCTCCTTCTCCCTTCCCCGACTTAACCCCAATCTTCAGCTCTTCAACCACCAGCTTCTCGTTGCAAAATTGGTCGCCAAACAGCGGC